ACAGGTGAGTTTTTAATGAAGACTTGAAGATGTCCAGGGAAGCAGCGTTGCAGAAAATAAGCAATCTACTGCATTAAAGGTTAACTTCTCTCTCTGTGTGTGTGTGTGTGTGTGTGTGTGTGTGTGTGTGTGTGTGTGTGTGTGTGTGTGTGTGTGTGTGTGTGTGTGTGTGTGTGTGTGTGTGTGTGTGTGTGTGTGTGTGTGTGTGTGTGTGTGTGTGTGTGTGTGTGTGTGTGTGTGTGTGTGTGTGTGTGTGTGTGTGTGTGTGTGTGTGTGTGTGTGTGTGTGTGTGTGTGTGTGTGTGTGTGTGTGTGTGTGTGTGTGTGTGTGTGTGTGTGTGTGTGTGTGTGTGTGTGTGTGTGTGTGTGTGTCAGGACTCGTGTGTGCGTCAGGCGACTCGCTGCGTGCGGACAGCGAAGCTTGTGGCTCTGCAGCTTCACTTCCTGAAGCAGGACTCAGACCTGCAGCTCGTCAACCTGCAGCCTCCGGAGCTGCTGAGCGCCGTCACCGCGCTGCCGAGCTGCTACCAGGTAGTGTGTGTGTGTGTGTGTGTGTGTCAGTCAGAGGCCTGTTGTAGTTCTAGAACAAAAAGAGTCCTGCTGACGCGCCTTAAAGAGGCCCTATTCTGCTTTTCGCTTCTCCCTCTCCTGTAGTGTGTTCTATAGATGTTAGTGCATGTAAATGGTCTGCAAAGGCTCAAATCCCTGTGTATCCCTGATGACTTTGATACAGATGATTCACTGATCAAAAGCTTCACAGAAATGAGGAAATTACGCTTTAAAAATGTACATTAAAGAGTCTTTCTAACTTAGTGGATTTAAAAAAAGATACTCTGGTAAAAGTAGAAGTACTGACTAAACTTCTTTCCTCAAGTCAAAGTAAAGAGGGCTTTGAAATGTACTTCAGTAAAAAGTACCCATAACTAGCAGCTGTTTTAAAGAGTACCTGACCTCCCTTTATATGAATAGAACAATAATGTCATTGTTAGCTAATGAATGTTTCCATGCTGAACAACGGCAACATGACAACGTTTTCATTGGTCCCTCTTCTTTAGAGAAGACCAGGAAATGATGGATACACGGATCGTGTTCAAATCAATAGGCACGCAATGACTCTAAATAACTAGAAAATGCATTTCCTGCAGAAAATGCGTGCGAATGCTGTAAACTGTGAATGAATTTAGCTGAAAATGCAGAAAAAGCTGAATATGTTATTAGCTGAATGGTAGCTGCTTTTAGCTACAAAAATGCAGAAAAAGCTTAATATTTAAAAGAAAAGGTTTAAAAAAACATGCATAGCCTTGATGTCCTGAAATAGCTGAATAATGTAATAGTTGAATGGTTTCTGCAGCTGAAAATAGGCTGAATGAGTTAAATATCAGATGTAAGTAGTAGTGAATGAATTTGTATTAAGGCGAGACACGGCAGGCAAAAACATCGTTTTTCCTGCACTGGTCAATTTTGAGATTTTGTGCTATTTTGATTCCATAACATGTTTTCTTTCAGGCTTTTGGAAGGAAAACGTACAAAATACACATTTAAGTGTTTATTTTACTATAGTTTGTCTATTTGCGTCTGTAGATTTCTCCTAAATTCACCAAAAGTTAGCATTCTAACGCAACATAAAGTACCGCGACCGCTGTTTGCACCATGTCATCAGAGGTATCGTTGGAAAGCTCCGTTTCTCCTGCACAATCTCATCGGATCCAAATATGGTCATTTCCTTTGTATCAGCAACCAATCGTGAAAGTGCAAAGGGGTCTAAACCAAGAAACGAAATCTCATTGGCTGGTGTCAATTTCTGACAACGTGATTCGTTCAGATGCGTCACGCGGTGTGCTAAAGCACTTCCAGGTTAGCTTTCCGCTAGAAATTTAAATCTGAAAATGGCAAAATAACGGCGAAAAAAACGTTCACAGAGAAGACGACAACAATTGTCACTTGCACAAAGCAAGGTTATACAAAAAACAAATGACCCCGAACATGAAATACCTTCACGGAGTGCGTCGATGCGCAAGCTATCATCCAGATAACAGGAGGGTTTAGCTAGCGTCACACTGCAATCTTTAAAGGTCGTTTTCTCAAAATGAGTTTTTTCTCCGACTCTGAGTTACATACACCAAACCTTCCAGTTATATTCCTATCAATATTATGAAGGCTTTTACAGAAGGGTTTGGTCATATATAATTCATAGCCTGAATTATATAACATTTTATACCTAAAAACATGGTGAAAATTGATATTTTAGGGCTGTTGACAGTATTTTCTGATTTATGGAGTGATACAAAGAGATATCCAAAATCCCTTCTGTAAAAACCTTAGATACCAATATGACTACAAAATGAAAGAATCATTTTGATCCTGGCTTTATCCAAAGTTCAGATTTCGGTTCCTGAAATGTGTTAAAATATGCGCATATTTCATGAGATAATGGTTCATTTGCATATTTAAACATGCTATTTCAGAAATCTTGTAATACAAAAAACAATTGCCTTATTGTAAGTAATTAACTGGAAAAATTTCTAGCTGATATCTTTAAGTTAAAAAAAGTACCCTATTCACCTGGGGTGTCTCGCCTTAAGATGAGAAAAGAAAGTAAAAAGGCTTGGGAAAGCAGCAGAATATTTGAACTGCAAACTTTTGAACTAACTTGATGGTGAATGATCTGTCGCGATGGCAACGGCATTTGATGACACCCCATAATACGCTTAGATGTGTTGATGGCTGCATCGTTACCAAACCTGTGAAGTTTTGGGCCATTTCGATCCTTTTCACTGAAGTTATGAGAAAACCGTGTTTCATGGTGAGCATTGTGTTGCCATGGCAACGGCATTTGAAGAAATCTCAAAACTGTCCCGTAGATGTCTTCACGGCTGGACTGTTAGCACACATGTGAAGTTTGAGCACTTTTTGAACATTTTCATAGGAGTAATACATTACATTAGGAGGTTACATTACTCTCTCTCTTCTCTTGATCGCCCTCTCTCTTCTCTTGATCACCCTCTCAATCTTCTATCGCCCTCTCTCTCTTCTCTTGATCACCCTCTCTCTCTTCTCTCTCTCTTCTCTTGCTCGCCCTCTCTCTTCTCTTGATTGCCCTCTCTCTTCTCTTGATCGCCCTCTCTCTCTCTCCTCTTGATCGCCCTCTCTCTCTCCTCTTGATCACCCTCTCTCTCTTCTCTTGATCGCCCTCTCTCTCTTCTCTTGCTCGCCCTCTCTCTCTCCTCTTGATCCCCCTCTCTCTCTCTTCTCTTGATCGCCCTCTCTCTCTCTCCTCTTGATCGCCCTCTCTCTCTCTCTCCTCTTGATCGCCCTCTCTCTCTCCTCTTGATCGCCCTCTCTCTCTCCTCTTGATCGCTCTCTCTCGCTTCTCTTGATTGCCCTCCTCTCCTCTTGATCACCCTATCACTCTTCTATCACCCTCTCTCGATCGCCCTCTCTCTCTCCTCTTGATCGCCCTCTCTCTCTCCTCTTGATCGCCCACTCTCTCTCTTCTCTTGATCGCCCTCTCTCTCTCTTCTCTTGATTGCCCTCTCTCTCCTCTTGATCGCCCTCTCTCTCTCCTCTTGATCGCCCACTCTCTCTCCTCTTGATCGCCCTCTCTCTCTCTTCTCTTGATCGCCCTCTCTCTCTCCTCTTGATCGCCCACTCTCTCTCCTCTTGATCGCCCTATCTTCTCTTGATGTGTCTGAGAGAGAGAGAGACAGAGAGAGAGAGAGAGAGAGAGAGAGAGAGAGAGAAAGAAATGTTTACAAACACCTGTGTGTGTAAACCAATTTACCCACTGCAGCACTGAGTCCCATTAAGAATGCATTGAGGTTTGTATCTGACAATTTTGCCACCTGTTCAAAAACCATGGCTCCTATCAAAAAATGACCAGACCGTGAGCATCAGGGAACCCCAATGAACTGATATATTTTGTTTTTTTTGGTTTTGTGTGTAAAATGTGGAGATGGGAGCAGTTTGTCTAAAGTGTACTTCTCTCTGTTCTGAAGAAAGTTCCGGAAAGATTTAACATGGGAATCAATTGGGAACTAGGTGGACTTGTTGTCTCTTCATGCCCTCAAGAGGCATTTTGTTTAATATTTCTGCTTAATTTTTTTAAATTTTCCAACCTAGGAGAGGTTTTCCTCTTTACCAAGCTCCAAACAAAGTTAATTATCTCAAGAAGTGTAAAAGATATCAAAAATAAAAGTCAAGTTTGAATAGCTGAAGGTGTTGTGATCATTTGAAAGTTGGAATGAAGTGTCTAGCTGAAAGTATGTGGAAGGAGTAGCATTTGGCGCAAGGTGTAGGAAAAGAGGATTTGAAGGTATCCCATTGACTTCCATGTTAAAAAAAGAGTTTAAAAAGCTGAATATTTCAAAAAGTATAAAATATTTTTAAAAAGTTGAAGGTTTCCCATCGATTCCTGAACAGGCTGAATAGTTTGATATTTGAATGGTTTCTGTAGCTGAAAATAAGCTGAAGTTATGGAGTGCCAAAGTATTGGCTGAAATAATAAGGGGAAGAATAAAGAAAAATTGAAGTACTATAGTGGAAGGCTGTGGCACAGCATTCGCACTAATAATGATCACGCCACCAAACACACATTCAAACTAAAGGAACCAGCCTGTTTGGAAAATGTAAGAAGTAGAAAGTACAGGTATTTGTGTTCAACATGTAAGAAGTAGAAAGTACAGGTATTTGGGTTCAACATGTAAGAAGTAGAAAGTACAGGTATTTGTGTTCAACATGTAAGAAGTAGAAAGTACAGGTATTTGGGTTCAAAATGTAAGAAGTAGAAAGTACAGGTATTTGTGTTCAACATGTAAGAAGTAGAAAGTACAGGTATTTGTGTTCAACATGTAAGAAGTAGAAAGTACAGGTATTTGTGTTCAAAATGTAAGAAGTAGAAAGTACAGGTATTTGTGTTCAACATGTAAGAAGTAGAAAGTACAGGTATTTGGGTTCAACATGTAAGAAGTAGAAAGTACAAGTAATTGTGTTCAAAGTGTAAGAAGTATAAAGTACAGGTATTTGTGTTCAAAATGTAAGAAGTAGAAAGTACAGGTATTTGTGTTCAACATGTAAGTAGAAGAAAGTACAGGTATTTGTGTTCTACATGTAAGAAGTAGAAAGTACAGGTATTTGGGTTCAACATGTAAGAAGTAGAAAGTACAGGTATTTGTGTTCAAAATGTAAGAAGTAGAAAGTACAGGTATTAGGGTTCAACATGTAAGAAGTAGAAAGTACAGGTATTTGTGTTCAAAATGTAAGAAGTAGAAAGTACAGGTATTTGTGTTCAACATGTAAGAAGTAGAAAGTACAGGTATTTGGGTTCAACATGTAAGAAGTAGAAAGTACAGGTATTTGGGTTCAACATGTAAGAAGTAGAAAGTACAGGTATTTGGGTTCAACATGTAAGAAGTAGAAAGTACAGGTATTTGGGTTCAACATGTAAGAAGTAGAAAGTACAGGTATTTGTGTTCAACATGTGAGAAGTAGAAAGTACAGGTATTTGTGTTCAACATGTAAGAAGTAGAAAGTATACAGGTATTTGGGTTCAACATGTAAGAAGTATAAAGTACAGGTATTTGTGTTCAACATGTAAGAAGTAGAAAGTATACAGGTATTTGGGTTCAACATGTAAGAAGTAGAAAGTACAGGTATTTGTGTTCAACATGTAAGAAGTAGAAAGTACAGGTATTTATGTTCAACATGTAAGAAGTAGAAAGTACAGGTATTTGTGTTCAACATGTAAGAAGTAGAAAGTACAGGTATTTGTGTTCAAAATGTAAGAAGTAGAAAGTACAGGTATTTGTGTTCAAAATGTAAGAAGTAGAAAGTACAGGTATTTGGGTTCAACATGTAAGAAGTAGAAAGTACAGGTATTTGTGTTCAACATGTAAGAAGTAGAAAGTACAGGTATTTGGGTTCAACATGTAAGAAGTAGAAAGTACAAGTAATTGTGTTCAAAGTGTAAGAAGTAGAAAGTACAGGTATTTGTGTTCAAAATGTAAGAAGTAGAAAGTACAGGTATTAGGGTTCAACATGTAAGAAGTAGAAAGTACAGGTATTTGTGTTCAAAATGTAAGAAGTAGAAAGTACAGGTATTTGGGTTCAACATGTAAGAAGTAGAAAGTACAGGTATTTGGGTTCAACATGTAAGAAGTAGAAAGTACAGGTATTTGGGTTCAACATGTAAGAAGTAGAAAGTACAGGTATTTGTGTTCTACATGTAAGAAGTCAAAGTAAAAAGTGGTCAGAAAAATAAGTAGTGGAGTAAAGTACTGATACCAGAAACATGTACTTAAGTCCAGTAATGCAGTATTTGTACTCCTCTACTTCCCACCTCTGGTCCTGATCCAGCGTCTCTCATCCTGTGTTCTCGTCCCTCAGGTTTTGGTGGTGGCCGAGGCGTACGGCTACAGTCCGGACTGGCCTCACATTTTGTTCCAGAAGGTGATCCTGAGCGGAGACTTTGTTTACCTGGAGGACTTCAAACGCCTCCGCCCCCTCACCTCCGCCCTGTTCGAGGACATCTTCAAAAAGTAAGACATCGTAACGCCGTGCCCACCGCAAAGAACAAGACTCAAGGCTTTATTATCATTCGTGCAGAGCTACAGTTTAGATATGACAATGGCCATCTGAGGTCACCGGCTCCTCCAAGAGAGCAACATATAGGACATGAAACAGATCAAATAGTGCAAGTAAATACAAATAGAATAGAAACAAAGACTGTGACCGGAGGGAGGCTGCATGACGCATCGCTGTGAATAATACTCAGTGGACAGGGACAGAGATAGTTAGTGTCTTTACTGAATAAACAAATGGTGAAGCATACTTTGAAGCAGAGGTGGAGTCCATCAAGAATTCTGTATTACTTTGAGGTACTTGTACTTTGCATGAGTATTTCATATTTACGTGCACCGCATTCATTTGACACGTGTGTGTGTGTGTGTGTGTGTGTGTGTGTGTGTGTGTGTGTGTGTGTGTGTGTGTGTGTGTGTGTGTGTGTGTGTGTGTGTGTGTGTGTGTGTGTGTGTGTGTGTGTGTGTGTGTGTGTGTGTGTGTGTGTGTGTGTGTGTGTGTGTGTGTGTGTGTGTGTGTGTGTGTGTGTGTGTGTGTGTGTGTGTGTGTGTGTGTGTGTGTGTGTGTGTGTGTGTGTGTGTGTGTGTGTGTGTGTGTGTGTGTGTGTGTGTGTGTGTGTGTGTGTGTGTTCAGGCTGGACGGGGCTCCCTGCAGTGTCTCTAATGCTCGCCGCCTGCTCTCTCACTGTGAGCACGTGTTCAGCCGCTACAGACTGGCCTACCAACAGAACCTTCTGGACGTCAGCAAGGCTCTGCTGCAGGACACACACTCCTCTGGATACCTGAGGGACCGGCTGGCCAGCTGATCCAATCCCCACCAGAACCACCGGCTGGAATACAGAGAGCTGCAGGGATGTGGTGTTCCTGTGCTGGTCCCTGAAGGCAGCATCTCCCTGCTCCAATGGGATTCCTCCGTGGGAGTTTTGGATTATTGCAGAAAATAATCTCTGTGTCAAACAAACTCACACGTTTAGTTCAGCAGTGAGGAATCTACTCACCACACACCTTAGTTCAGACTAACAACCAAAAACACATTCAGAAGACCATTGACTTCCAGACCAGGGGACAGGAAGTGGTAACATGCTGACTCATTTCAGGGTTTAGGACTCATTCCTGCACCACTGATGATTCTCTCTTTGAAACGGATGATTCAAAATCTTCACAGAAATGATGAAATTACACTTTAAAAATGTACATTAAATACTCTTTCTAACGTGTGTGGATTACTTAGTGGATATATTTGTATGTATAATAAAATATAATTATTTCTTTAGTTGATTACAGCGGGTATTATAAGTTAGAATCTGCAAAGTGTGAAAAGTACAACCATGTAAATGATTAAATCAGTATACAGAAGATAATAATAATAGGTAATACTCAGGTACTTCAAAACTGCACAATACTTACAGAAAATGTACTTTATTTCCAGTAACTCACAGTCAGCTGTTGGGCTCTAAGTGTGTGGGTGTAGTTTTCTGTTTGTCCACTAGATGGTAGTCCAAGCTCTGTTTTCTCCTCAAGTCTTTTCTGTGATTTCCACCTGAGCGATGAACAGAGGTGGAAGAAGTACTCAGGTCTGGTACTTTAGTAACAGTAGAAGTACTCAGATATTGTACTTTAGTAACAGTAGAAGTACTCACATCTTGTACTTGAGTAAAAGTAGAAGTACTCACATCTTGTACTTGAGTAAAAGTAGAAGTACTCAGATCTTGTACTTGAGTAAAAGTAGAAGTACTCAGATATTGTACTTGAGTAAAAGTAGAAGTACTCAGATCTTGTACTTGAGTAACAGTAGAAATATTCAGATATTGTACTTTAGTAACAGTAGAAGTACTCACATCTTGTACTTGAGTAAAAGTAGAAGTACTCACATCTTGTACTTGAGTAAAAGTAGAAGTACTCAGATCTTGTACTTGAGTAAAAGTAGAAGTACTCAGATATTGTACTTGAGTAAAAGTAGAAGTACTCAGATCTTGTACTTTAGTAACAGTAGAAGTACTCAGATATTGTACTTGAGTAAAAGTAGAAGTACTCAGATCTTGTACTTGAGTAAAAGTAGAAGTACTCAGATCTTGTACTTTAGTAACAGTAGAAGTACTCACATCTTGTACTTGAGTAAAAGTAGAAGTACTCACATCTTGTACTTTAGTAACAGTAGAAGTACTCAGATATTGTACTTGAGTAAAAGTAGAAGTACTCAGATCTGGTACTTGAGTAAAAGTAGAAATATTCAGATATTGTACTTTAGTAACAGTAGAAGTACTCACATCTTGTACTTGAGTAAAAGTAGAAGTACTCACATCTTGTACTTTAGTAACAGTAGAAGTACTCAGATATTGTACTTGAGTAAAAGTAGAAGTACTCAGATCTTGTACTTGAGTAAAAGTAGAAGTACTCAGATCTTGTACTTGTTAGCTAAAACTACTGATGAAAGAACTGGAAACACAGACTAAAGGTAATGTGTATATATATATATATATGTATATATATACATATGTATATATATGTATATATATACATATATATACATATGTATATATATGTATATATATACATATATATATATATATTTATATATATACATATATATATATACATATATATATATATATATATATATATATATATACGTATGTATGTATGTATATATATATATATATATATATATATATATATACGTATGTATGTATGTATGTATATATATATATATATATATATGTAGTGACGGTGGAGCAAGAGACTGCTGAGGACAAACTCAATTCACAGTGAAATGAAAACACAGAGTATGAGTTCATCATGTGCAGGAAGATAAACAAAATGGTGAGGATAACATGGGTCCAGCTCAGGCATCAATGCTTCACTTTTGATCTGATGTTTTATTTGTTCAAAGGTGGGCTAGAACTTTGATCATTAGAAATACATTAAAGAAATGTGTTTTGGTTCCAATAACAAGAAAGTCCATTCACATTCTGGGAGAATACAGTAATATATGCAATAAATGCAGCAGGGCTAATAATCCAGAAACATATATATATATACATATATATGTATATATATATATAAATATATATATATAAATATATATATATATATATAATAGGGAACAATTGAATGCTCAGCTAACACTAGAGTACTTAAATACCTCAACACTTGAACTTCAGTGAGGTTTGAATGCAGGATGTTCATGGGAACAGGTTACATTTCCGTCTCATTCGTCACTTATCCAGCAATAATCAGAAGGGCTACGTGAACTTTAGTTTCCTCTCACAAGTGTGAACAGGTCGTTTTATTTAAAGTTTCACAAGTTATAACACCACACACTATAATGAACTGCGTTTAGCTCAGATATAGATGATATCTGCTCCGTCTAGGTTTGCCCCACTACTAGTTAGTATCGGGGGTTCTTCAGTCTTCTGCAAGAAGAACTGAGTTCAAGAGGAACTGAGTTCAAATGTTCTTCAGTCTCCTTATATCCTCTTTGTTCACGTGGTTTGTCACATCAGGTGTCCTTCTTTGTTGCTTTATGGTTAAATGTTCACTTCCCGCAAGGAAGTGCATAACAGATGTCCATCTCCTGGAAAGAGGAAGTGCGTACTTTGCTACATAGGTCTTTACAAGTACCCATGTAAGGATTTCTGTTATACATCCTGTTTATATTGCTAAAGCGTTAAACTATACGATACATGACTATGGCATTCAGAGTTTAACACAGTTTTTAACATATTTAAGCTTTATATAATAAAATACATTGTTCCATTTTCTTCCTTTCTTCAACAGTTGACATAGCCGCCATTTTATTAAACATTAAACAACACTTTGGGCCCTCAGCTAATTCAGACAGTATAATGAGATATGGCCCACAGATTAAACTTGTCATATATTGTACTACTTCGATATATATGTACAAATATATATCACGGTATTCATGTGTGCCCACCTTTCTTTCTATCTGCTCTCATTATAATCACTCTGAAGTTTCTGTTTGAAGGAATGAGCTGCTAACTCAATAAAGTAAACCCTCTGGAGAGCTGAGATGAAGGCTGTTGAGTTTCTTAAAGCATTTTCAAGAATCAACAATCATTGACCTTTTGATTCATCTGTCCAACTTATAACTGAACTGATAAGGAGAGATTCATCACCCAATGAAAGCCTCTCTGATAAAAACACTTCTGACAGTAAAGACACAATCAGTGAGCCAGATTTAAAACAGCAACCCTTAAACCCAGGACAGGAAGTGGTCTCCTCCTACAGAGGACACAGAGACGCTGAGGAGAAGCCATCTGACACTAACCGAAACCCAGCATAGAGAGGTTCAGTGAATGTGGTTCTGAAGGTGTGGAGGTGGGTCAGTGTGTCAGAGGAGACTCTGTAGAAGGAGAGAGAGCCAGCAGGATGATCCAGATACACTGCTACTCTACGAGAGGAGGAGGAGGAGGAGGAGGAGGAGGAGGAGATGCTTGTTACTCTCTCATTGTGCCTGACAGAGTAACCTTCATCATAGCACTTCAGTCTCCAGGACTGATCATTCCATCCAAACCTACATTCCCCTCCGCCTCCTCCCCTGCTGATTCCTCTGTAAGTCACTGCTATACGAACCCCCCTTCCTCTCCACTCGACCTCCCAGTAACAGCGACCAGTCAGAGCTTCTCTGCACATCAGCTGAGACCAGAACTCAAACCTCTCTGGATGATCAGGATATGGCTGATCCTCTCTCACACCTGTCACCTTCCTGTTGTCCTCAGACAGTTTGAGGTATCTCTCTGCTGTGTTTGAGTCCAGGGTGAGTCCACAGGAATCTGAGGAGAGACACAGACAGCAGTTTATCACCAGACTCACCTGAAGGCTTTCCTCTCTGTTAGTGATCTTTCTATAACAGCGCTCTATAAGAGTCATGTATTATTATTATAAAGTTTAAAGGTGATGCAGCTAGTTCAGCAGGTTCTGACCCAGTTGCTGAAAGACTCCAGCTGCACATGTTCAAGTGACATGCTTCAATCACTTTGAGCACACCATCACTAGAGACCTGATCTAAGGGGTAACACTCTGATCTCTCTCTCTCTCTCTCTCTCTCTCTCTCTCTCTCTCTCTCTCTCTCTCTCTCTCTCTCTCTCTCTCTCTCTCTCTCTCTCTCTCTCTCAAATAATACCATAAATAAAATGTTACCTCTCATTTATGGATTATTGTGGATAGAGTTGCTGCGGGGGATTGAGACGCACAGGCTGCAGTGGAGACGCAGCGCACAGCTGATTGACAGCTGGAACACAAACCACCAGATAGGTCTCCTGTCCCCGGTACAAACACTCTGACACACTGACCGAGGAAGGTTATGTGTATTTTTTTTGTCATTAACTTTTTTCGGACCACTTATTTATTTATTTTGGTGACGATCCGACCTCCATGCTGCTACTCTGGTTCAAACTGCATCCACCAAACAATGTGATTTATCTCCACCTCCCCAAAAGAACCAAAATCTGACTCGGTGTGAAATGTCTTTTTTAGCTGTTCTGTCCTCATTCCCTGCGATCTTCTTCTGCAGTCAGTCAGAATGAATATTAATACGGGGCGTTTCTTTGACTATTTATAGGCAAATATGGGCGTTACGTGAAGCTCGCAAAAGCTGCGCCGCATTTCGAGTTAATTGTGATTTATAAAGGGAAACCGGCGTAGGACGTGCCGCACGCAAGGCTTTATAAATGAGGCCCCTGGACCCACCTGAAGGCTTTACTCTCTGTTAGTGATCCTTTCTATAATAGCGCTATATAAGTGTCATGTATTATTATTATTATAGAGTTTAAAGGCGATGCATGCCAGTCATGTTTTAATGAATAAATAGCACCTCCATCATCTTTGTCTTTAGAGAGAAGCTGACTGATCCACACTTACACTTCCTCACACCTGGTTTTAACCTCTGCTCTCCACCATGGTCCAGCCTGGAGGAAGAAACACAGTCAGGATGATGTTCTATCCAACATGAGTCCTAGCTGCTGGTACCTCGTGGAACAGAGGTTACTTTCTTAGAGCAAGCTTTTTTATTCTAATTTACTTTTTGTTGGCGTTTAGTGTCAAACATTGTCACAGCATATTGTACATTGCATCTTTACATGAAGGACATACATCTGTTCATAGCTCTTTTCAGCAATATACACATGATGACACAAAAAGCACAGAGGAGAAAGACATAAAGAAAGAAATGAAAATAAAATAGAACAACAGTGAACAATTAGGGAGTAGACATTTCTTTCCAGCAGAGTTCTGGATCTGTGGAAACTAAGTCAGGCCTTTAGGGCTTTACAAAGTGAGTCCACTTCTCACAGGTTGGAGTAAATTGACCAATGTATGATTGACAGATGCTGTTATCTTTTCTATATTATAAATATCCATTGAGATGTCCATCCATCCATTTAGAGTCGGGCTATGCTTCGATAACCACTTCCTGGTTAATGCCTTTTCAGCAGAATGTTCAAGAAGTATTTGTCCTTTCTCAAATTCCTAAAGTATAACATCTTGATCTCTAGAGGTATTATGTCTTTGAAAATGTCTTGTAAGGCGTTGTGTATCTCCTTCCAGTAGTCTTTGATACCTGGACAGTCCCAGAATACATGGAAGTGGTTTGCATTCTGGTCACCACAGTTCCTCCAACATATAGGGGGGGGTCCTATCATAGTGGGACTTCTGAGAGGGCGGAATAAAATATCCTATCAGGTTCTTCCAGGTATATTCCCTCCAGTTCTGCCAGCTGGTACATTTCCATTGATATCTCCACATTGTTACCCATTCTTCTCCAGATATATGTATCCCTCCTTCCTGCTCCATCTTCTTTATTATGTAAGTGAGTGTTTTTTAAGATTTGTCAATCCTTGGTATACACATGATACGGTTCTACCGTTAACATCTGCGTTATACGCTTTCCTAAACATTTCTATCAAACCTACACTTGCCTCTGACACTTTTTCCACTTTCAAATGAACATAATGCCGTACCTGAAGATATCCATAAAAGTCCTGTTTCTCCAAAGTGTATTTCTCTTTGAGGGTATCCAAACTGAGCAATGCTCCCCCTTTCATCAGCTTGCACAGAGCTGTTAGACCTTTTAGAGCCCAGTCCCTAAATCTAGTATCCAATCTGTTAGGCATGAAATCTGAGTCATATGCACACCATTTGAGAAAGATACTATCATTCTCCAATTTATATTCTTTTATAATAGTTTTCCACATTTTAAGAGAACATTTCACCCATGGATTTTCAATAATAATAATAATAATAATAATAATGTTGTTATTGTCAGCTATAATTGCCTGTATTGGAGTACACCTTCTGTTCTATATGTTTCCATTGAGCATCATATGCTGGGTTACTCCAGCATATCATTGTTCTTATCTGTGTTGTGAAATAGTAATCTCTGAGAGAGGGTAAACCCCATCCCCCTTCTTCTTTGGCCAGGTGTAAAGGTTTGAGACGAACCCTCTGTCTTTTACCTTGCCATATATATCTTGATATCATTTTATCTCATTCATTACATTGACTTTGGTTGATCTCTTTAGGTAGGGTTTGGAATAGATATAATAATCTAGGTAGTATATCTTTTTTAACCCATTCAATTCTTGAAGAAATATTAAAGAAAGGAATTAGGTTCCATCTTGCTATATCTTCCTTCATTATGTTCTCTCCAGGTAGGAAATTGCATTCGAATAATGTTGAAAGATCTTTAGGGATGTTAATGCCCAAATACTTGATGGATTTTGTGTGCCATATCAATGGGTATGTATTCCTAATATCTTCAGGTGGATGGGACTTGTCTCCTGAAGGAAGTTTCTCCCTGATATTCCTCCCTCGCTCCTCTCCTCCCAGCGTCTCCCAGGCAGACAGCTGCTCAGCCTCTCTCTCGGTGTGATCACGGTGACGGCAGTCCTCTGTCCTTCACGTCTCAGGATGCTTCCACAGCAGTCTGGTACAGCAGTCATGGCTTGCGTATAATATCGTCTTTAGTTGAGTATCGGAGAAACTTGATCATTCTTGACGCTGCTTGTCCTCCCTGTCTCCGGAGGCCCTCGGGACGAGAGCCCGGTGCGCTCTTTCAATGCCGAGCTCCGTGGCGGGGGGGATCTCAAGTGCCTCTTGTAGTAAACTCTTCACCAAGTCAACCATAGATGACCCCTCCGCTCCCTCTGGGACTTTATAAATCCTTATATTCTCCCGTCGGGATCTTCCTTCTTGGTCAGTCAGTTTATTTTCTTGCTGATTCATTACCTTTATCATCTTGCTCAGCACCTTCCACGTTTTCAATTCTCATTTCTGCCTCCTCTATTTTAACGTTGACGTTGGTAAGGTCGGATTTCATTTTGTTTATTTGTTGTTTTGTGTCTTTGCGAAAGTCCCGTATCTCCTCCAGAACTTTAGCTAAGCTAGCCACGTGCGGCTCTGCGCTAGCTTCCTCATCATCGACCTGTGCAGGCGAGTTGTTCGTTGTATTTTCTTCGTTGGTAGACTCTGAGCCAATGTTTTTCTTTTGTCCGTCCTTTCCTCCCAATTTCGCCCCGTTAACTATTTCTAATTTTACAGAGACATTTCTTATTTGGCAAATAAACGAGGCGAAATTAATCTCTTACTGGGGGAGAAGCTGCCATTCGGTATGGTGACGTCACCGGAACCATGACCATCATTTTCAAGTCAATAAAATCATCTGAATTCATATCGAGGAGTCTTAGTAGTTAGTTTGTTTATCATGTAGCCGTGTAATAAGTGTGATAATGTGCAGCGAGGCATCCTGTACACATTCAACTGCTAACAGCTAACTGCTAACAGCTACCTGCTTACAGTCAACGGCTAACAGCTACCTGCTAACAGCTACCTGCTTACAGTCAACGGCTAACAGCTACCTGCTAACAGCTACCTGCTAACAGCTACCTGCTTACAGTCAACGGCTAACAGCTACCTGCTAACAGCTACCTGCTAACAGCTACCTGCTTACAGTCAACGGCTAACAGCTAATGGCTTAGTTTACCAGCTCTCCTCCTGCTGATATCAACATGAATGTGATGTTCATGATGGCATTATGAGGAGAAAAAAGGATGCGCACCTGGACGTGTCGATCATAAGTTTACGTAATAAAGAATCACAAAAAGTAAATCTCGTTTTCCCATCAGCGACTAGGTAATATGCTGATCATCGGCCAAAGCAGGCCAGTAAATAATCAAGATACAATTATAACACATAATGTGAGTTTAGCTCTGTTAGCCGTTAGCCGAAAACAAAGTCAGAACTATCCAAACTGGGTGTAAAAACTCAATGAAATATAATTTCAACAACTGTGTCATAAATGAGAGGAAGAACATGACATTTGAGATATTAGAGACACGTTCAGTCTGTCTGTCCATACCTGAGTGTCTCCAGTCTCCAGAGTGGATCCTCACGTCCAGCAGACAGCAGCTTCTCTCCTGAGTCTCCTGGATGATTATAGCTCAGGTCCAGCTCTCTCAGATGGGAGGGGTTGGAGCTCAGAGCTGAAGCCAGAGAAACACAGCCTTCCTCTGTAACCATACAGCCTGAGAGACTGGAACCAGGGAATACAGTAAACTCAGTGTTTTGATTATGTCAGCATGAAGATACAGATGTTGACCAACTTTATTAACATGAACCTGAAGCTGGATGAGCAGGTTTTAAATTAAAACTATCAACAACAAAAAAACCTGTGGTCTGACCTGAGAGTCTCCAGTTCACAGTGAGGACTCTCCAGTCCAGCAGACAGCAGCTTCACTCCTGAATCCTGCAGGTCGTTGTTACTCAGGTCCAGCTCTCTCAGATGGGAGGGGTTGGAGCTCAGAGCTGAAGCCAGAGAAACACAGCCTTCCTCTGTAACCATACAGCCTGAGAGACTGGAACCAGGGAATACAGTAAACTCAGTGTTTTGATTATGTCAGCATGAAGATACAGATGTTGACCAACTTTATTAACATGAACCTGAAGCTGGATGAGCAGGTTTTAAATTAAAACTATCAACAACAAAAAAACCTGTGGTCTGACCTGAGAGTCTCCAGTTCACAGTGTGGACTCTCCAGTCCAGCAGACAGCCGCTTCACTCCTGAATTCTGCAGCTCGTTGTTACTCAGGTCCAGCTCTCTCAGACTAGAGGACTGGGAGCTGAGGACTGAGGACAGAGCTTCACAGCTTCTCTTTGACAGCTTACAGCCACTCAGCCTGGGGAAGGATTAGCAATGAACACAATTTATTTTATTTATCATTTTTAAAACTGATCAATGTTGTTTGTATCTCCACTTACAGAGCTTTCCTGGAGGCTTTGACCACTGGCAGCAGCCTCAGAAGAGCCTTCTCTGAAGCAGAGTATTTCTTCAGGTCAAAGACGTCCAGATATTTTCCTGATGACAGTAAGATGAAGACCAGAGCTGACCACTCAGCAGGAGACAGTTTATCTGTGGAGAGACTTCCTGAACTCAGGTACTGTTGGATCTGCTCCTCTAGAGAACCATCATTAAGTTCATTCAGACAGTGGAACAGGTTGATGCTTCTCTCCGGAGACGGGTTCTTTCTTATCTTCTTCTTGATGTACTCAACTGTTTTCTGGTCGATCTCTGAGCTACTTCCTGTTTCTGTCAGCAGGCCATGTAGGAGTTTCTGATTGGTCTGCAGTGAAAGACCCAGGAGGAAACGAAGGAACAAGTCCAGGTGTCCATTTGTACTCTGTAAGGCCTTGTCCACAGCACTCTGGTAGAGATGTGTTAGTGTGGGTTGAGGTCTGAAGACTTTAGGCAGCCAGGAGGTTGTTGGTTCTTCTGCCAGCAGGTTGACTCCAGAGTTGATGAAGGTGAGATGGACATGAAGAGCAGCCAGAAACTCCTGAACGCTCAGATGGACGAAGCAGAACACTGTGTCCGTGTACAGTTCACTCTCCTCTCTAAAGACCTGTGTGAACACTCCTGAGTACACTGAGGCTTCTGTGATATCGATGCCACAGTCTGTCAGGTCGGACTCATAGAAGATCAGGTTGCCTTTCTGCAGCTGCTCAAAGGCCAGTTTTCCCAGAGCCTCCATCATCTTCCTGCTCTCTGGACTCCAGGAATCTGTCTCCCTTTTTCCATGATACTTGACGTTCCTCACTTTGGATAGAATCACCAGGAAGTGGATGTACATCTCAGTCAGGGTCTTGGGCAGCTCTCCTCCCTCTCTGGTTTTCAACACTTTCTCCAGAACTGAAGCAGAGATCCAGCAGAAGATTGGGATGTGGCACATGATGTGGAGGCTTCTTGAGGTCTTGATGTGGGAGATGATGGTGCTGGCCAGCTTCTTATCTCTGAATCTCTTCCTGAAGTAATTCTCCTTCTGTGGGTCAGTGAACCCTCGGACCTCTGTCACCATGTCCACACACTCAGGAGGGATCTGATTGGCTGCTGCAGGTCGTGTGGTTATCCAGAGGCGAGCAGAGGGAAGCAGCTTCCCCCTGATGAGGTTTGTCAGCAGCCGATCCACTGAGGTGGACTCTGTGACATCAGTCAGGATCTCATTGTTGTGGAAGTCCAGAGGAAGTCGACACTCATCCAGACCGTCAAAGATGAACACAACCGGGAACTGATCAAACCTGCAGATTCCTGCGTTTCTGGTTTCAGCGAAGAAGTGATGAACAAGTTCCACCAAGCTGTAATTTTTCTTCAGCCTATTCAGATCTCTGAAAGGTAATGGAAATATGAACTGGATGTCCTGGTTGGCTTTGCCTTCAGCCCAGTCCAGAGTGAACTTCTGTGTTAAGACTGTTTTCCCGATGCCAGCCACTCCCTTTGTCATCACTCTGATTGGTGCATCTCTTCCAGGTGAGGCTTTAAAGAGTTCTTCTTGTCTGATGATTGTTTCTGGTCTGTCTGGTTTCCTGGATGCTGTTTCAATCTGTCTGACCTCATGCTCCTCAGCTGTAGTTTCTCCCATGGTGATGTGGATCTCTGTGTAGATTTCATTTAGAGGTCTTGAATTACCCGTTTTTATGATTTTCTCAATTTTTTTCTCCAGGTTTAATTTGAGCGTCCTTTGGCACTGAGTAAGAATCTCTGAATGAACAAAAATAAAATCACAATTGAGACAATACTCAAATTAACATAAAAGATCCATCACAATATTTGTTCCTAACTTTACACATTTCTGAAAGGATAGTAGGATATTTGTTGTCGGATCGAAGCTGTATCTCAATCATCTGTCGCTATCCAAAAATATTGTTCCTTCTTTCTATTATTTCCCACTCTGGTGAACAATCTGTTGTCCCCAGAGAACCATGACCTTAAACCTGACGACTCTTATTCCTGCTGCTGGAAGACGAGGCACGACCCTGGCAGATCGACCTCTGAGGATATGGACTCAGCTGTCACTCCAGTTATACAGGAAGTGGATTGCTCTTAGTAATTGTCCCAATACTCCGTAATCCTGCAATAGCCTACTATCAACAAGACGCCCTGGGGGTCACAGTAATAATCTTTCCCTTCGTCCATAAGACAGGGTGGATGGAAAACTCTATTGACCCCTCTTAGCAAATGTGGAGCCCCAGCCTAACTCAGTGTAAGAAAACGTTTTTAGAGAGTACTTGTCCATGGACAAGTGAGTTTGGCAATTTACTCTGAATACATTTTTCACTTGTCCAATCTGGACATGCCTGTTTTTTTTTGTTCTAAAATTATTTTACATACCCCTTTTCAGGCCCATCAGTACATCAATTGTAGGGTCCCCTTTCAAGCCCTTAATCCACTATTTTCTGACAGAATTTATTTCCATTTTTTTCCTTGTTAACTGAACACACCATTTCACCATCGACATTTTTTAATTGTTTTTAAAGAAAAAGCCCTAACAAAACAGCAGTGCTCTCAGTATTAACTAAAGAAAAAAAGACAGCAACAGCAGACAGCATTTGCTGAGCCTAAAGATAATCATAAATAAATAACAGTGAAAATAAATATATTGCAATGCTCAAAACAGCAGCATCCAACGGTCTCTAATCCTAAAAAAACATAATACAAATAAATGTATTGCAATGTGCAGAACAGCAGCATCCAACAGTCTCTAATACTTGGATATTACATGTCACTGCATTCATGTATAGAAGATGAATATGGAGGGATGAAACCCTCTTTGATGGTCACACATGCAGAGCACACAGCACACACAGTGACATTTGTATCTACAGATAAATATTAAGCCTGACAAAGTACTTAACGTCTAATACAGAGGTCTTCAACAGGGGTCCGCGACCCCCAGGGGGTCCGCGGAGGTACTGCAGGGGGGTCGCGAAATCTTTGGTTGATTAGACAATTTTTTATATTTCTTAAAAAAAAAAAAATTCCAAACATTTTTTTCCCACAAATTGAAATGTCTTTAAATGCACATTAACATGAATCCAACATATTGTAGCGAACGGAGAAATGGAGGCAGAAGACGTTATCTTTCAGTCAGCAATGCACGCATTCAGCTACACACAGTAGCTATCTCAAGCTAGGCGCAGGTTCACTCACAGCAGGAGACTACTCCGGACCTGTCCCACCAGGCCTCCTGTACACAAAGGGGAGGACCCGCCCCTATCGCTGCTGTGCCAATCACGAGGCCGCATGACACACGCTGGCTCTGTCATTATTTGAATAGCTTAGTATTGAATGTACAATAACAGAGTAGCTATGTTTATACACGGCACTAGGCCCCGTTTAATATAAAACACAATTGTATGCCACACATATAGTAGGGGGGTCCCTGCTCCAGCTCTCCATCAGTTTGGGGGTCCCTGGCCTGAAAAACGTTGAAGACCCCTGGTCTAATATATTGCTTTCCTGCAATGTTAACTATGTTTAAGCACTTGTTTTAACTGATATTATACATATGTATTATAGTCTTATAAGATGTATGTAGATAGCAGTGTTGTAGTCAAGTCACCAATTCACGAGTCCAAGTCACTCTCGAGTCCAGTGGCGTCGCCTGGCCTGGGCATCCGGGGCTTTAGCCCCGAATGTTTTTTCTGTAGCCCCGGACAATTCTCCCTCAATAATATAATACATTAACCGTGCTTTACGTGAACCTCATCATGACACAAGAGAGGACGGCAACACTGTAATTTCCCGTGTTCAGTGAATGCAACAGAGGCATGACACCAGACCAATCAGAGAGTTGCATGGAAATAAACGTGTGCTTGTGTCATTCAAGCTCGGCTCTGTGTGTGTGTGGCAATAGCGCATTTAGTGTGATAGAGAGAGAGAGAGGGACCGCTGCCAGCAGGGACCTGTTGTTAGCATCTGGTTAGCTAGCTGCACTAACGGACATAAGGAGCTGTTTGTTCCACAAGAAGCTGGAGGAGAGTCCTCTCCTCTCAGACTGAGAGACTCAGGTGAGCTAAAGGACTCTCTGAGTGTTTAGATACTTAACTTTAGTCTAAGTTATCTCAGTGGGTCTCAAACTGTTTGGTCACAAATTATTCAAAAGATTATTTCCGCGGCACACCTTCATATGATCATTATAGTTATAAAAAAAAACAAGAGAATAAAGGAAAAACAGTTATGAAATACTATATGGCAGTAAAACAAGAATAGAGTTTAAAAGGGGAGTGATTAGTAAAATATCCATAAAGAAAAAGTACATCTGTTTACAGTTCTGTTTCATATGGGTGTTGAGAGAGGTATCCATAGATCTCTTCATTTTGCTCTCAAAGTGCACCAGATTGATGCTTTTAACTTCAATATTTAAAAACAAATCTTCCCGGGGGAGCATCCCCCCGGACCCCCCTAGAGGAGGTGAGGTCTGCCCCCCACTCATAAAAAATACCACTTTACCCCTGCCTATATGCCGTGAGCTGATTATCGAGCCTTTATTGTAACAGTCGCGGGTGTACTGTGTGTGTGCGTGTGGGGAGTGTTGCAGTACCACTCTTCGAGTCCGAGTCCAAGTCCGAGTCACCAAGGGAGAGTCGTAGTCGAGTCCGAGTCCAAGTCCGAGTCACCCAAGGAGTGTCCGAGTCGAGTCCGAGTCCGAGTCATCATTACCTGTGTTCGAGTCCGAGTCCAAGTCTGAGTCACCTAAGAAGAGTCCAAGTCAAGTCCGAGTCACAAGTATTCATGTATTAATCTTCGTGGATATATGTGTTGAAATGTAGCTGCTCCTCTACATTGCTTTTATCCTGTCATGTTATACTAATCTGTCTATTGAACTGCTGTGAAGCCAGTTTGGCTACAATTCTTGTAATAGGTGCTATACAAATATAAAGCGTATTACTAATATTAATATTATTATTATTATATATAAATAAACTATGTTTAAAATGAGTTACCTTTTAGAGAAGTGATTATATTTGTATGCCAATATTTTCATATGGTAAAGTTTTCGTTTTGCACTTTTATTTTGATAGTAATAAGATCGGGACTCTTATTTTGAAGGAACTTTTACCGGTTAAATCGGTTTACTGATAAAGATTTAGCCCCAGAAAGCACATGGCTACTTAGCATGCAAAATGACGTCATTCTGCATGTTAAGTAGCCAAGTGCTTTCGTGTTATCCGCTGAATCTTTATTTATTTATTGATTAGATCACATTACTCTGATGATAGTGTTCAAGACAGCCTATATGTCTGAACTCGATGTTTAGAGTAATGTGTTACGGAGCCTTCTCTTCAATATTGTTTCCACATAGAGCATTTTGCGCTGCTCTTTTCCAATGTGGAAGCAGAATGTGTGAAAGCATACAGCACGACGCGGGGTGTGTCTCTAGACATCTTTAGACTGGAATAGCGGGGCCCAGTACGTGAACTCGGCAGCCGGTGCACACGCCAGGATAGAGGACATCAGACTCCATAGAAAACTTGCTCGAGTCCGAGTCCGAGTCCAAGTCGGAGCGTCAATGTACAAGTCGAGTCCGAGTCATCGTGGGGGGAAAAATTCACGAGTCCGAGTCGAGTCACAATGGTGGAGGTACACACATATTGATAGATGTCTTGTAATGCACTGTTGAGGAACCTGCGACCCAAGTTTTTCATTCATTGCATAACTACACCGTAGTTGTGTATAATATGATATGTCAATAAACCTTAGAAAAATCTTGAAATCTTGAATGGGATGTGCAAAATAGTCATTATATACAGTCTTTAATGAACTATTAGTAGAGAATAACGACGAGTAAAGAATATACTTTATAGGGATCCTATTAATATCTAATAATAAAATTATAACATGTAATAACGTGCTTTAACCAGTAGGAGTCCCTTTCTATCAGCTGTGCACCGTTATGGCGTAAATACAGCCTATCTACCAATTGGATCAAATATCAAAGTCAGCCGAATTAGTGTTGATACTGCAAAGAGACATATTGTGTGAAAAGAAATGTAAGATGTTGTTTAATTGCTTATATATTTAAGATCCACGTCAAGTTTTCAGTTTTGGCGGCAGTTCCTGTTTGTCTAGAAGTGTTCTCATCAGGGCTCTATACATAGAGTTAACTACAGCAGATATGTAATATTTAATGCAGCCGAAACGTGTATTACAATGCCGTTATGTGATGACTTTCAAAGAGAAAAGCAAGCACACTCGGAATAATGTATTATTTAATTTTTTTTAAATGTTTTCGGATTTCACATCGCATAAACACCAAATCCCAGCGTGCATAGCGGAATATCAGTATGAGAAAAACGGCATCCTCTGTCCTTTGACCCTCACATCGTACAAGGAAAAACTTTCAGAGAAAAACCCACAGTTAATATACACACATTCCTTCACATTTAAATTTAAATTTACATTAAAGTATTTCGTGAGGCCTTCTAACATGTTTTTAAATATAACTACGGTTGTAGTTGAAGAGTTTGTAAATTAACATGAACAGAAGCTGTTGCCTGTTTCAATATACAGTCTATGGTTGCTACAGAGGATTGTGGGTAATGTAATGTCTTCGGCCATCCAAAACTCATAGAAAACGACTTGTTTCTCAGAATTGAAGGGGAAAACGTGACAAAAGCATTGTACACACACTAAAACCTATCAATGTCGTTTAATTAACAAGGATAATCTGGTGTTTTTGAGTTGATGAGTAGTGGAGATATCACTGTCAAATCAATCGACAGTAAGGGGAATACTTTCTTCCGGGTGTACAATTCTCCGTTATCCAATGGGAATGGACGCTCACATTGCCTTTAACAGCCTCCGAGGCGTCCCAACTGCACGCCTCGGGACCCTGACCAAGCGTCGCTCCTGGACGTTTATGGAGTGAGAGTGTGTTGGCTGTCAGTACGCTTGTCCATGTTTGTGATTGGTCGAATGCTCCAAATACCACCCCTTTCATGTGAACGCGCACCTAACTAGAAAGGGCAAAGCTGAGTTAACGAGTTGATAACCAGCGTCGTAGGACAGTTTAGCGAGAGCGCATTTGTTTTGGATTAGGTAAACCGGGTAACTCAAACATATCCAAGTTAGGTTGAACCGGCTTCGTAGTACAGGCCTCTGGTCTGCCTAATAGGGTTGCTTTTTTTCAAAGTAGTTGATCTAAAAACTCCTCAACTGAGACCAACAGTTCTAATTGACCCTATCAGATAAACCCTGACACCATGTACAGGTGGTGTTTCTCTGTGTGGTATATCAGGAGGACACATCCAATCCATGTTATCATTGTGATTTACCTGACCTCAGGTTCCCTGTTTGTAAAACTCCCTAATAACTAATGACCTACCTGTCGGTTCTGATGTGATTTTTGATAATTCGTCCACCAGATCATTCCGATTAATCTTCTTCAAAACGTATTTGGTCACTTCAATAGTCTTAATGCAGTAGTTCAGAAACATATGGTCCACAGTTTGCGTCCGCAATGCATCCTCTAGTCGACTCTCCGGGATTCCTTTGAATCCTAGGACCTTCTGCTGCAGGTGCCACTTGAATTGTCCAAAGTCCTCTTTCCCCAAATGTTCTAAAGTACTGAAGAGGATCTCTTTCAGTGTCGCCATATTTTCTCCCTGCAGAGATCCAAAAGATACCAACAGAAAATATTATATAATCTTACATCTGAAATAACATGGGTTCATGCAAAAAAATACTTTGTTTTTCAGCAACAATACTGCTTGGTTATTTTAAGGCAAATAAACTACTACTCCAGCTTCAGGTTCAGGTAGAGCTTCGGGTTCAGGTTCAGGTCCAGGTTCAGGTCCAGCTTCAGGTCCAGATCCAGGTCCAGGTCCAGCTTCAGGTCCATGTTCAGGTCCAGCTTCAGGTCCAGCTTCAGGTCCAGCAGAGTGTGGTGTGTCCTCTGGGCTGGAACACAACACAGAGCTTTGAGTGAATAATGAGTGCTGAGCTGTGACATGGAGAAGAGTCATGGACAGTTGGAGATCTCACCTCTGAGCTTTAGTCTGGCTGTCATGTTCCCCACACAGAGAGGGGGGGGCTCCCTCCTCTCTGTCCTCACAGTGATCCATAGCAGAGCCTCCACCTTCACACAAACACAACAACATGCTCATCACAACAAGAACATCACAGGACACATTAGTGCCCCTCCTCTCAGATGTCCCACAGCCCCAGGCCCACACAGAAACTCAGTTTGTTGACCCCTAAATATGATTTTGTGATTGTCAAGACTTCTTACAGCACACCCAGAAGTGACCAAATGTCTCAGTCATGTGGTTAACTTTGTTCATTGAAACAAAACTAAACACACACGCATCAAAACTACTTGGTTATGTTTAGAAAAAAAGATAACGGATTCGCCTAAAATGTGTAAGTTTGTTACTCTTGAAGTAAGAAGATATGATTCTACACTGTATTGAAGTAAACATGTATTGTTTGAACTGTTTTAGGTAATCACAAACGGGTTTTGATAAGTCACTTAGAATAGGAATGTTATTCTTACTTCCAAACTCACTGATCCAGAGATTCTGTGTTTCATACACCAACCTTGCCTGGGTTTCACCCCTAAAAGCAGATGTCGTCATTAAGGTCGTTAAAGACAAACATTACATCCTTCTTATCATTCTCTAAGAGCCAGATGCTGTTTCTAAGTCGTTAAAGACATCGTAAAATAGGTGAAGAAGAGCATGGGAAGAGAATGTGGTGGAGATAGGGTGAAGATAAACGTTGACTTTTGACCTGGGGTAACTTAGGATCTCACATGCTGGGCAGACCTCTGATTGAACCCGGCCAGAAGCGAATCCAGCCAATCAGGACACTTGGGGGAGGTTAGCAGTTTAAACAGCTCCTCCCCAGGGGTTCTCTGATTCGCTTGGGAGAAAAGTGGGAAGGAAGAATCGACAAATCTCCGCCCCAAAGACAGATAGAAATACTGATGATTTTGAGTGTAAAATGCTTCTGGTCTGTTGAAAGCTGGTGCTAGAAGACGGTAAACCGCATCACAAACCTGGAGTCCATACTTCTCGTTTTCTGAAAGCTGGTCTGTCTACCTGTAAAACCGCATCATCAGGCCTGAAGCCCGGAGTGCTCGAGTACTCTGTATAACTTGTATATGTGTTTGGTTTCCTACTAGAAGTAAACTCAGATAATTTGTTATAACTTTGATTCCTGGTGTTTTCAATTCCTTTCTTAATTTAATAGAGATCCAGCCTCATCCAACGAACGGCGCGTAGCAGAGGTATTCTACTCCAACAAGTGGTGACTCCCGACGTTTGTGAGCTGATCTCTAGAAAGGGACACCGATAGCCAGGGGACAGAATCCAGTCCAGGGGGAGGACACAGAGATACTGGTGACAACTAAGACCATGGCAATATACAAAAGGTGAGCAGACACCTGTTTTGACTATCAAAAATCTGTGATTGATTATACTAAAACTTTAGAGTTGTCAGCAGCGTTCTCAGTGTTTTTAGTCACGGTGGGAAATACAATACATATTCTAGTTAAATTAGATTATTAGTGCTTAGAGAAGGGTATTCAGTCCTGGATCTAGAGCAAAAATAGTGTTTGAGTGTGGCGGGTAGATCCCAGCCCTTCACTCACTAAATTAAAGACTACTTAGGTGTCAAAATAGGGTTAAATTCCCCGTAGGTCAATATAACATTGATGAATACGGTTACCTTACAGTGCTTCCATAAAGACTGTAAGGCTGTAAAAGAAGGGTTACATTCCCCGCGGGTCATGATCAGATTGATTAATGCGGTTACCTTTCGTGGTGCTTTAAATGTATAAAAATGTCTGTAATTGTAATATGGTGGGTGATAGAGGAGGAGAGAGACGCGACCTCCAACTAATTATTTGGAACGACCGTATCTCATCACAAAACTGTTGTGGGGATAATCAGGCTCATTAAACGTGACGATAAAGAGATTTTGTTGACTGAGTTTTTAACTCTTGACCTGAAGTCGCAATCACCGTGAGGAGATTGTAGAAGCCTACTTCTGGAAGTCACGCTATCTGTTGAAATAAACATCGCACAATAAAAATTTGCCTGAATGTGATATGATAAGGTATGAGAAGCTCTGTGTGATTTTTTTAAAGTCAAATCTGTGTAATACTTGAGAGACAGAGAGCAACGAGAAGGTGGTATAATGTCTGAGACCCTACCTCCACCCTACGGAGATGATAGCTCACAAATGCCACTTATGAGTATCCCATCTAATACTCCTAAAGGAAAACACATTGTTAGACCTGATATTCAGGGATAAGGAATGTTGGAAATAGTAATGGAAGATATTGAAAATCTTAAACTGGATCAACCAACCATGTTAGTGAACCCTGCTAATATGGAGCTAATACATGTAGAAAGACTAGCAGCAGCTCTGGCAAAGACAATAGGTCCTAGCATGCAAGCACAGAGCGGTAATATGATAAGGGCTATTAAACTGACCCTTTTTGGAAATGGGATTTTCCGTTACATAACGGAAGACTCAATTCAGGCCTTAAAGAACGCTTTACAAACAAGTCAGGGAGTGTTAAATGTGGAGCTATGTTGCTCATGTGGGGGCTTACACTTTTGGGAAGGGATCTCCCCCTTTCTCTACTCCTGAGGTGCTGCAGATTCAAAGCAGCATACAGGGTCAAAGACAGGCGTGACCTCTAGAGAGGAAGAAAATCTAAATCTGAACAGACCACAGAGCCCATTAAAAGGTTTTATGGCCTCTACAATGAGAGGAAGATCTGGAGATTGTAAGGAACTCTCCCTGAATATCCACCCCCACACCATTGAGGGGAAGAGTGTTCCTTTCACCAATAAACAAATCATCTCTTAACCAAGTCAGATTTCAAAATAGCCATACCTCAAGTTGTTAAGAAAAGAGGGAGATTCAAAAGGTTATCAATAATTGCCCAGTATATTAAATAAATACAAACAGACACGTATCAATATAAGTCAGATAATGTAGACGAGGTCAATCATGGAAGAAGGCTGACATTTAATGCCTGATATATAAGTAATAGTAATAATAAATATATAGCTGATATTAAATAACTGATGTATAAGGCTCGTTATTTCTGAAAATGGGAACACCGTTAACGGCGTTCTATTTCAGAAAAAGGGGGAAAAGGATAGGATATACATCAGACAATATGTATGTGAGATTATTACATTTTTAGGAGAAATTTATCAATTTAAAATACTAGTTTTGGTATTTTTTGTTTTGTTTTATTTGTTGCTTTTAAGAGAAATTGATACATTTAAAATAATCTAGCTTTGGTTATTTTTTGTTTTGTTAGTTTGTTCCTTTTTTGTTTTATTTTTATTTTTGTTCTATTTTTGATTTTTGATTTTGATTTTGATTTTGATTTTTTGAGATGATTTCAAAACCATATTTCCAGCAACTTAAGGGCTTGGTATGAGACTTCTCCACACAGGCTGCTGACGTCAAAAGGGGGACCCGATAAACACAAGGCCAACACAGCAGATTACGTCTGGTTGGAGGGGACCTCTCATGCCGTTCGCCTAGATGGAAAGGGAGACAACTGGTACCACTGGAGCCAGTCTGCGGTCGGGAAAAACACCTGCGAGGACCCTGGACGACATCAGGACAGAGTTGGCCCTCGTCGCGAGGACCCTGGACGACATCAGAACAGATCTGGCTCTCGTCAAGGCAGTCGACCCAGGAGGCGCCATCAGCAGACCGGAGGAGGAGGATCAGGACATCTCTCCAACAGTCGACCCAGGAGGCGCCATCAGCGGGCCGGAGGAGGAGGATCAGGACATCTCTCCAACAGTCGACCCAGGAGGCGCCATCAGCGGGCCGGAGGAGGAGGATCAGGACATCTCTCCAGCATCGACCCGGAAGCCGCCATCAGCGGGCCGGGGGAGGACAATCAGGCCACATCTCTCTAGCAGGCACCCCAGAAGCCGCCGTCAGCGGGCTGGGGGGACGAAGACATGGCAAACCAAGACGGCACAGGGAACTCCATTTCCCGCTGAAACAGGTTGATATAGCCGGTGTGGAACTTTGTCTGAACAATCCATTTTTTTTTTTTGAGGAACTTTCAACTTTATTTTTATATCCCACAATATAAGGGATTGGTATTTTTTATTCTACAGAACTATGTGTTACCAAAAGAGGGAAAAGTATGATAATGTCTTTTCTAATTTCTGTGGCTACTTTTATTGCCATTTTAGTGACATGTGGTTGTTGTTGTTGTGTGCCTTGTATCTGCTCACTGTGTGTTAGACTCATCAGTTCCACCATTGAGGGAAGAGTAAAGATGACTCAGCTGACAAGGACTTTGCTTTTTAGACATATTTTATTCTCCCTCCACTGTCATAATAAGTTGTTGTTGTGGACTGTTCCTAAAGGTTTAAAGTGCTCTATATCCCAACTTCTGATGGGTTTATATAAATGTTGGGACAGACACAGTAAGAAGAAAATTGACAGTGGTAATGTTTCAAATGCTATATGTTGATCTCGTGAGGTGAGATCAAAAGAGGGATTGAAGTAAGAAGATATGATTCTACACTGTATTGAAGTAAACATGTATTGTTTGAACTGTTTTAGGTAATCACAAACGGGTTTTGATAAGTCACTTAGAATAGGAATGTTATTCTTACTTCCAAACTCACTGATCCAGAGATTCTGTGTTTCATACACCAACCTTGCCTGGGTTTCACCCCTAAAAACAGATGTCGTCATTAAGGTCGTTAAAGACAAACATTACATCCTTCTTATCATTCTCTAAGAGCCAGATGCTGTTTCTAAGTCGTTAAAGACATCGTAAAATAGGTGAAGAAGAGCATGGGAAGAGAATGTGGTGGAGATAGGGTGAAGATAAACGTTGACTTTTGACCTGGGGTAACTTAGGATCTCACATGCTGGGCAGACCTCTGATTGAACCCGGCCAGAAGCGAATCCAGCCAATCAGGACACTTGGGGGAGGTTAGCAGTTTAAACAGCTCCTCCCCAGGGGTTCTCTGATTCGCTTGGGAGAAAAGTGGGAAGGAAGAATCGACAAATCTCCGCCCCAAAGACAGATAGAAATACTGATGATTTTGAGTGTAAAATGCTTCTGGTCTG